AGTTGTTGTAGCCGGTGACATGGGGACTTGGGTACCGGGGAGTCTGCTGGCGGATCACTCTAGGGTGTGGGCAATCTCTTCTAAAGTGACCTGGCTGATTACAATTAAAACAGGTCCGGATTGTCGTGATAGTCCGGTCCTGGGAGAAGGGGATTGGTGCAGGCAGTGTCTGGGGTGACTGAGTGTACTGTTGGGGGAGTATCTGAGGAACTTGGTTAGAACTTGCAATAGGGGTGGAGGTAGTGTACATCAGAGGACTAGTTCTTCGCTGTGTGGGTTGCAAAACAGATTCTAAGCCCTTGGCTACCAACAAAAGAGTGTCCAGTGGAATAATTCTATACTCAGGCCGAGCTAAAATTAACCCCTTACGAATGTGTTCCCTAAGACCTGCCACAAAAGCTGCAGATAGCATCTGGGTGTGTGCTTTGTTATAGGTGCTGAACCCTAAGTCTGAAAAAGTCTGAGTCAACCTAGAGTGGTACTTTTCAACTGTCTCAAGTTTATCCTGAATTATGTCATTTATGCAAGTAGCTTGATCAGCTAGTTTATCCTGCGCCCAGGCTCGGAGCGGTTCACAGAAAATTTCACCAGAACGAAAATCAGTATCAGAAGTAAGTGGTGCATCGCTAAAACTCCGTTCCATGATTGGCCAGTATGCATCACCAGCCTTTATTTCACATAGACTAATAAGGTCCCGCCAAGCAGCGGAGTATGTTTTACGGATCTGAGCCATCCTGCGGAAAAAGGGCATGGGGTGTTTCTCAGGATCAGCGAGTGAGGTCACAAGGGTAGCAGCTTGGGAAGGGTTGAAGGTAACATACATAGGTGGTGCACCATCCGCACCGTGGTTAATCTGGGTATACCCCTGTGGGGTAGAGCGCCGTTGGGGGAGTCTGTTCCCCCCTAGGCGGGGTGGGCCCTGGTCCGCCACAACGATCTCCTCGGGTACCACCGGGCTGGGGTGAAGAGTAGTCTCAGGGGTAGCTGTGGTGGGGATGACAGGGAGGCCGGTGATAGGAGAGGTAGTTGGGTGGAAACCCGAGGCCTGGGGGGAGGCACCCATCGCATAGGGCTGGTCCGATGACGCAGACACCTCGGACCCAACCACCATGATTGGGTAAGTAGGACTGGCAGAAGGGACATGAGGAACCAATGCCGTGGAAGGGGCTGTCATGGGGGCCGGTTCGGTGGGGAGTGAGAGGTGAGTGTTTAGGACATGAGCAAGAGCAGAGATTGGATCGGAAGGCTCGGGGATGTTAGCGGGAGACAATGGAGGGGTCGGAGGTTCGGGGGGTGGAGGAGGAGGAGGAGGAGGAGGAGGAGGTGGTTTAGAGGGAGGTGGCACAGGGATCGCGGAATTAACCAGGGAGGTAACAGCAGAGAAGAGGGCGGAAATCGAGTTAGACAGGTCATTGATCATGGACAGGTCGGGGGTCGCCGGGGGAGGGGTCGGGAGGATAGGGACAGGGGGCTGTGTCACGATAACATGGGTGGAGGGTTGGGGCATTAAACCAGACAGGGGAGGAGGGGACAACGAGGTAGAGGGGACTGGGGCTTCGGGAGGAGGTAACGCTGGAGTAGGGGTGGTAACGGGGGGTTGGGTCAGGGCGGTGAGGGCAGAGATTAGGGACGGCAAATCAGCTGAGGGAGGAGGAGGCAACGAGGTAAAGGGGGCCGGGACTTCGGGAGGAGGTAACGCTGGAGTAGGGGTGGTAACGGGGGGTTGGGTCAGGGCGGTGAGGGCAGAGATTAGGGACGGCAAATCAGCCGAGGGAGGAGGAGGCAACGAGGTAAAGGGGGCCAGGACTTCGGGAGGAGGTAACGCTGGAGTAGGGGTGGTAACGGGGGGTTGGGTCAGGGCGGTGAGGGCAGAGATTAGGGACGGCAAATCAGCCAGGCAACGAGGTAAAGGGAGGAGGAGGCAAGGGTCCTGGAGGGTGAGAGGGGGTCTGAGCACAAGGGAGCAGAGGCAAGGGGACTGGGGCTAACGGGCTGGACAAGCACCTTCGAAAGGCTAGCAAGGAAGGAGGAGAGGTCAGGGTCCGGGGGTACGGGAGAAGGAGGATCCGTGGGGGGACAGGGGTCCTGAGGAACGGGGTCGGTGGAACGGGCAAGGGTCGGGGGACCAGATAAGGAGGGTGAGGGAGCGGGTAATGCTAAGGATGGGGTACTCGATGTGGAAATGGAGGGAGAGGAAGATGGGGAGGGTACTTCGATGGGTGAAACGGGAATAGACGGGATAGGATCCTGACGAGGAGTCGGAGTGGGTACAGGCACTGGGAGTGGTAGCGGGGGAGGTGAGGGAGCTTCAACGGACATAGCGGAGGAATGGTTAATGGAGGGGGCGGGGTCGCAGGAAGGTTGATGCATGGGAGTGGGTGGAAACGAGTGAAGCGGCATTGGGTAATAGTAAGCACCATCCACACCAAGTACGGGGCACAGGGGGGTGGGAGCTGAAGGCACACCCCCGGGGGGTGGAGTTTGCACTGTGACGGGGGAAGCGGGGCGGGAGTTTACGGTCGCGCTCTGAGCGCCATCATAGGGCGGTGGTCGTGGGACAATAGAAACAACATCATCATTGTTAACACTCCTATGGTAAACATACACGATTTGCCCCTCAAACTCCAACTCTTCCTCGACCCATCCCTCTCGTTTCAAACCTCTAGCTACCCGATACCAAGCCTCTGCAACCTTTGTGAGTCCGTTATCCAACAACAACCCTTCCTTGTCTATGAGTAACTTCCTCCAAAACTCAGGCTGTAATCTTCCACTGGGCAACATCTGAAAGCCACACACCTTAGCAATCTTTCTAAGTTTCAACATTGCATCTTCCCCTGCCCTTTCTTTTACAATGTCACAAGCCAACAGGCCCTTAGCAGGTCTAGCGTGTTCCTGTCCCATTTTGAGTAAACGGAGCGTGCCACGCGCTAAAGACAGATAAATAGAGGAGGTATAAAGGAAAAAGAGTGTCTACAGTGCTCGACTGCCACGAGAACTTGAGCCCCGTGCGTCTTCCCCAAACGTAGACCAGTCACGGAAATCCGCCCACCCGGGGTGGTGGTCACGGACGGGAGCGAATGAGCGTGGGTGACTAACACAGCTCTGGACAACAGGCACAGGAAAGATAAAGAACAAGGGAGAAGATGAACGTGGCTGCGCTAATGAGAAGACATTTGCAAAAATCACAAACATATAAATGAGCGTAGACTCCGGAATCCAGAACACAATGCACACACACACACCAAGGGTACCCACACTGTAACAACAATTAAACAAAAACCACAGAATGACAGAGAGTAAAATGGCCATGTACATGTTAACACCACTGGTGCCAAGTGATCGAGGTATAGCAATCCCCAACCTTCACCCACCAGGCTGGTCCCGGTATAACACAGGTACCAATAAAAAACACTGCAATAATCAAACCAAATCTCAGCCCCACCGGCTGTAATGCGTTCCCTGCCCGCTAGGCAGTCAAGCTAACATATAATCCCAGCCCCACCGGCTGTAATGCGTTCCCTGCCCACTAGGCAGTCAAGCTAACATATAATCCCAGCCCCACCGGCTGTAATGCGTTCCCTGCCCGCTAGGCAGTCAAGCTAACATAAAATCCCAGCCCCACCGGCTGTAATGCGTTCCCTGCCCGCTAGGCAGTCAAGCTAACATAAAATCCCAGCCCCACCGGCTGTAATGCGTTCCCTGCCCGCTAGGCAGTCAAGCTAACATATAATCCCAGCCCCACCGGCTGTAATGCGTTCCCTGCCCGCTAGGCAGTCAAGCTAACATATTAAATGCGTTCCCTGCCCGCTAGGCAGTCAAGCAAACATATTTTTAAAAATACAAGAAACACACACACACATACAAATGAATACAGGAGGCAGATAGACAATCGACAGGTTCACCTTAAAAAGGCACACCGGATGAGTTAATTACCTGTCTCTGGTAGCCTTCTGGAAGCCAGAAGTGGACTCGGAGACACACCGACACAAAACAGGAGAATAACACAGACAACGGCTGTATTATGGAGGTGATCAGGCTCCGCTTGTCCCACTTTCCGGCGGTCCGCTCCGGTCCGTTGGTTCCGGCCCTCCGAAACGGCCCTCCGGTGGGCCCCACGTTGGGCGCCAATTGAAATGGAAAAATCAATCAAAGTATTGATTATTTCTTTGTGTATCTGCCCCTGGCTAAATCAATGAAACAATGCGTGCACGCTCCCTGAAGTAATTCACACCAGACACAGGTTCCAGGTTGTTGAATAACTTGAGGAAAGTTTATTCAGAGGGGACGGCAGGTCCCTTTTAAAGCAGAATTACATCATAAGCATTGTCAGAGATAACATGGAATAATACATCAATAATTGGTTAGGTGTTAAGTGGTTGCTCTAATGCTCTGCCTACTGTAGGTGATGTCACCGGGGCCATGAGGGTCTCCCACGGTTTCCCGGCGCCATCTTTGCTGCACGAGGTAGTTAGTTGGTGTTATGAAAGGAGGGGGGGAGGGAGGAGGGGGGTTAGAAGCTTCTAGCAGCCATTTTGATTAAACATGTGTGCTTAGCTTTATAATATACCGTGAAATGAGTAAATAGACATTTTCTCTAACTAGGAAATATGTGCAGACCTTATTTCCACAACAGGTCGCTACGTAACGGAACGAATAGGCCCCCAAAAATATGCACTAACCTCATTATATGCACCTAACACACCTAACAGCTCTTTCTGGCAGACCATGCAGACCTCGCTGTTCTCCTCACACCATTTGATAGTAGGGGGAGATTACAATGCCACCCTATCCCCCTCAATGGACAGATGCAGAGCTATATCTTCCACAAACCGCCACCCCCTACGACTAAATCAGATAAACTCTTCCAAATCTTTACATCCCGCACACACCTGCTAGACACCTGGAGAATCCAAACTTCCAGGGACTATTCCTTCTTCTCCCACCCCTGCCAATCACACTCCCGTATAGACCTTTTTTAAATCTCCGCCTCCCTGGCACCCATGGTCACATCCACATCAATTGGCTCCATAACATGGTCTGACCACGCAGACATCACTCTGCAAATCACATTACCCAATATGGCTAAAACCTGGTCCTGGCGACTCAACCCCACCTTATTACACAACCCGAACATCAAGGAAGCTATCAAGGACTACTTCGACCTGAACAAGGACTCTGTCTCCACCAAAAGTTCCTTGTGGGCCGCTCACAAGACAGTCCTCAGGGGCATACTAATTACCCTGGCTTCTAATTACCCTGGCTTCGCACTCCTAGAGCAAACACTAACAGAACTACGCACCCTGGAGACTAAACTCAAGAGCAATCCCACCCCAGAACTCAACGTGAATATCTCCAAATACCAAAATACGATAAAAGAATTTATGGCCAAAGACTCCATAAAAGTCCTCCAATGGACCTGGCAGCTATATTATGAAACGTCCAACAAGGCAGACACACTCCTCCTAGCTCACAAACTTAAGCGCAGATAAAAACGCAAACACATAGATAAAATCAATTCCCCGGATGGCCAAACACACGACCTCCCAGACCAAATAGATAAAATCTTCCAGGAATATTTCACCAACCTCTATGATCATAGCCCGCAATCACGCCTCACACCAGAGGTGGCCGCATCGCAGACAGACACTTACCTTAACTCAATTAATTTGCCATCCCTCACCCCCGTGCGGGCCAACAAACTGGCAACTCCTATCACACTGGAACAGATCTCCAACACCTTCAAAACCCTTAAACCAAATAAATGCCCGGGCCCAGACGGGTTTTCAGGATTATATTATAAAACCTTTGCCCCAGTACTAATACCACATCTATGCAACCTGTTCAATGCACTACTAGAGGGGGAACCACTACCACCAGACATGCTACAAGCGAACATATGCCTCCTCCCCAAACTCGACAAGTCCCACCTGAAACTGCCCATTACTGCCCTATGGTGACACTGAGATACTAGGTGGCAGTTGGAGACCTGGGGACACTGAGACACTAGGGTAAACTGTGAGACATGGGGAACGGTGACAGACTTGGGGACACTGAGACATTGGGACAATGGGAGACATAGGGACACTGGGGAATATGGGGACCCTAAAACACTAGGGACACAGTGGCCCCATGTCTCCTAGTAGCCCCTAGTCTCTCAGTGTCCCCATGTCTCTCAGTGTCCCTGGTGTCTCTCAGTGTCCCCATGTCTCTCAGTGTCCATAGTGTCTGTGTCCCATTGTCTCCCAGAGTCCCTTAGTCTCCAAGAGTCCCCTAGTGTCCCCATGTCTCTCCCAGTGTTCCCTAGTATCTCAGTGTCCCCTAGTATCTCAGTGTGCCCTCGTATCTCAGTGTCCCAATGCCTCTAAGTGTCCCCTAGTGTCCTAGAGACATGGGGACACTGGGAGACATGGGGACACAGACTCTAAGGGACACTGGAAGACATGGGCATACAAACACTAGGGGACACTGGGCGACATGGGGATACTGAGACACTAGGGGACACTGAGAGACATGGGGACGTATTAACCTTTAAGCTCAGGGGGGAGGGATGGGACCACCGTGTTCCTTACTGTACATATTACATCCTCATTCCTCCCTACAAAATTTCTTCTGCAGAATATTGCTAATCCCCCCCATCCGGCCTGGGACCTTATTTCCCAGAAGACCAGACATGGGGACACTGGGCAACTTTCAGACCTGGGAGACATGTCTCCCAGTCAGTGTCCCTAGTATCTCAGTATCCTCATGCCTCCCATTGTCCATGGTGTCTCTCAGTGTCCGTAGTGTGCCAGTGTCCCTAGTGTCTCAGTGCTTCCTAGTTTCCCAAAGTCCCCTAGTCTCCCAGTTACTCAGTGTCCCAACGTCTCCCAGTGTCCCCATGTCTCCCAGTTTCTCAGTGTCCCCTAGTATAAAAGAAAAATCTCAGGCACCCACTATGATAGATTTAAGCTGGTTTATTGGACATCGCTATATTTCGACCTGTACCCAGGTCAGTCTTTATCAAGTCTCCTGTGTCCCCTATGTATTACAGTGCCCCCTATGTATCAGAGCGTCTTAGTGCCCTATGTCTCCCAGTGTCCCTGGTGTCTCTCAGTGTCTGTAGTGTCTCCTAGTCTCCAAGTGTTCCCATGTCTCACAGTGCCCCCAAGTGTCTCAGTGTCCCCTAGTATAAAAGGAAAATCTCAGGCACTCACTGTGATAGACTTAAGCAGGTTTATTGGATACCGCAACATTTGGACCTGTACCCAGGCCTTTATCAAGTCTCAGTGCCCCATGTCTCCCAGTGTCCCCACGTGTATCAAAGCCACCCAGTGTCCCCATGTCTCCCAGTGTCCCCAAGTGTCTCAGTGTCCCCAGGTCTCCCAATGTCCCAATTTCTCTCAATGTGCCCTAGTGACATGTGGACACTAGGAGACATAGGAACACAGACACTAAGGGACTGGGAGACATGGGGACACAGACATGCCCCCTTTTTGGGTATGTTCACCCCTTTCAGCAGTTCTGATTATGTGATTTGTGTCAGTGGCCCACCCTTTTACCCCATCCATAGACTTCCTGCTTTACTGGACATTGCTGTTAAGGAGTATGGATTTACTTGAAAGTGTGAGATTAGCATAGGGTATGTGTTTTCTCATAGCTGCATCCTATGAGTTTCCCTCCAGCACCATCTCCATCAGATACATGACGCTTGGGAGGTAGAACTGTTTTAGTGTTTTTGGTCAATAAGAATTTGTCATAATTGTCAGCACTGGGCTCTTAATCTGTCCCTGGATGTATGACCTTATATGGTACACAAACACTTGACAGATCCCCACTCTAATCCTATCCCTAGATGCCGAGAAGGCATTTGACAGATTGCTTTGGCCCTTCCTCTTCACCACCCTACGAAAATTTGGCTTACCCCGACCCTTCATAGAAGTGCTACAAACACTATACTTCTCCCCCACTGTCATCCTACTCCTCCCTTCCTCACAACCCCCCTCCTTCAAAATTCTCAACAGAACACGTCAGGAATGCCCTGATATTATTGCGTTATCCCTCGAACCACTCCTACAAACAAATACAAATATTAAGTGTATAAACATACGTGGAGAAAAATACAAAACAGCCACATATGCAGATGACTTATTGTTGACGATAACAAACCCCACAAGCTCTATGCCTCCTTTATTAGAAGCATTGAACAATTACGCAAAAGTCTCATGATATAAATTGAACGTGGACAAGATTGAAGCACTCCCTATACAAGTGCACCCGGCTATCCTTACGACTCTCCAGGGACTCTATCCATTCCGATTTTAAACCTCTGCGATCAAGTACCTAGGCACAAATCTCCCTGCTGATCTTTCCCAAACACACAAGCACAGTCATACTCCTTTACTCCACAAAGCATTACAAGACCTAAACAACTGGAATAGCATGCCATTTCATGGCTAAGCCATCTAGCTTCTATTAAAATGAACCCTCTCCCAAGGTTCCTATACCTTTTCCAAACCCTCCCAGTGCCAATCTCCACACCCGACTTCAAAACACTCCAAACACACATAGATAAATTCACCTGGGCCAATAAAAAAGCCAGGGTTAAACGTCACACCCTCTTCCTCCTCAATAAAGCAGGGTGACTCAGACTGGCAAATTTCACCCATTACTTTCATGCAGCACGCATGCACTGTACGGTTACAAGCGATGGATAGACATAGATCACTCCATATTAGGCAGAGACTTCTGCCTGTACATTTGGCTACCAAAACATGCAAGGCCCCAGCTACCCCCTACTTCTTTTGAACTTCTCACTTCCATCAAGGTCTGGGACAAGCTTGCAATTAAATGCAAACTTGTCTCCAACACATCACCCCTCACGCCCATTCCCCCCCGGTATGCACCCCAAAGATTTTGCTGGATTCGAGGACAATAACTGGGTCAGGTTTTACCAATTTTACACCAACCGGGCACTTATTCCCTTTGCAGACATCCACCAAAACACACCCCTCACAACATTCGACTTTTTCAGCTATATACAAATTAGGAGCTTTCTGACCTCCCTAGCCAATATACAAATGGGGAAAAAAACCCTAACACCATTTGAGAGATCGTGTATCCAGAATCCGATTCAGAAAGGGCAAATCTCCACAATTTACACCCTCATCACCCAAAACACTGGTGACAACTCACTAACGTACAAATTGACCTGGGAGAGGGACTTAGATCCTATTCAGGGCTCGAGTCCTGCAGGAACGCGTGGGAACGGTGTTCCTGCACTTTTTCCATGGCAGGAACGCCGTTCCCTTTGCTCCTGCAGGACCAGGGCAGCAGCCTCTTGAGCCCAGCCGGTGCTCCTCCTGAGCAGAGCCTTCACTATGCGAGCGAGCGGCATCGCATAGTGAAGGAGTCAGGACTCAGGAGCGGAGGACGTACTTGCGGGTTGCTCCTCCTCCGACCTCCACTGCCCTTTGCGTACGCGGAGTTTTGTGACATCACGCGGAGGCGGAGTCACGTGTCGTGTCGGCAACCGTGACGGTGAGAAGGAAGGAGCACACCTGAGGCCAAGCCAGCCAGCACCCCTGAGTCTTCAGAAAAGTAAGTATATATGATGGGGGCTGGGTGGTTGAAGAGGGGGGGCTGAGTAATTGGAGAGGGGGGTAGGGTAAATGGAGATGGGGGCTGGGTGGTTGAAGAAGGGGGGCTGAGTAATTGGAGAGGGGGGTAGGGTGGTTGAAGATGGGGGCTGGGTGGTTGAAGAGGGGGGCTGAGTAATTGGAGAGGGGGGTAGGGTGGATGAGATGGGGGCTGGGTGGTTGAAGAGGGGGGCTGAGTGGTTGGAGAGGGGGGTAGGGTAAATGGAGATGGGGGCTGGGTGGTTGAAGAAGGGGGCTGAGTGGTTGGAGAGGGGGGGATGGTGGATGGAGATGAGGGCTGGGTGGTTGGAGAAGGGTGGATGGAGGGGGTGGGGGGCTAGTGTAAAAATAAATCAAATAACCCTAATATCACCACATTTGTTTAACTCCTTAAGGACGGCGGGCATTCTATGCTGTCCTTAGGGAAGCGGCTCTAAATGCCGGAGGGCGGCATAGAACGCCCAAACCATCCATGTCTAAGTGTATTTTGATATTAATATATATAATTATATATATCAAAGTACACGTACAATGATATTGATTAAATATATATATAGTTTTCATTATATATATTTATAAATAATATAAAATAAATATGTAAATACGTTAAAAAATAAAATTAAAAAATTAAATTTAAAATTAATATATATTGCTATCAAAATACACGTAGAACAAAATATATACATCTATATACATAACTATATATATATATATCTATATATAAATAAAACATTTTTTAATTATATATAGATATATATATACACACGTGTGTATATATATATAAAATAATTCTACGTATATATTTATGTAATAATTTTACATAATTAGGTATTTTTATTAATTACAATTTGTGGGACCTGCCGGACAACCCAGGC